GTGTGTGTGTGTGTGTGTGTGTGTGTGTGTGTGTGTGTGTGTGTGTGACTCAAAGAATTACAGAAGCCCATTGTTGGGAGAGCCTGAGAATCTAACCTGATCCATACTGGAATAGCAATTCCTCTCTCTACCACATCCCCAATATAGGTGTGTACTCAAAGAAACTGGTTTGAAATCTGGCTTAGCTATATGTGTGACCTTTGGGACATTCCACTACCTGTCTAAACCTCAATTGCCTCTTCTACAAAATGAGGGGCTTGAACTAGATCAGGGGTTCTTAATTCATCCTAGGGCCAGATTTCAAGGAGTCCATGATTTCGGATGGGGAAAAAAATGCATCTTTATTTCAACATAATTGCTTTCATTGATAATCCTATGTATTTTGTGCATTTAAAAACATTATTCTGAGAAGGGGGCCTTAGGCTTTACCAGACTTTCAAAGGGGTCCAGGACACAAAAGGGGTTAAGAACCCAGGAATAGATGGTCTCCAAAGTTTCTCCTGGATCCAAATCATATGATTTATACATGTGTCATGTGCTTGGGGGTGGGGGATTAGGTGGATTTCTGGTTAGTTTAATTAGAATAACAAAGCCAGGGAATGTCAGAACATTCTCAGAGATCTCATAATCTAACCTCCTTCATTTTACAATAGAGGAAACTGAGGGCCAGAACTGGTAAGTAACTTGCCCAGGGATATATATCTAGTTAGTGGCAGAACAGGTAGGACTTTCACAGAACAGTATTCTTTCCACTAACGCTCTATCTGCTAATCCTTCCCAAGAGAAACACAAGTTATCTCACTGGGCAAATGCTTAATTAGTGACCCATTCCTGGCATTTCGATAATGAAGGTGTAGAGAACGCTTATCTGAGTCGATTTCTATTAAAGGAGAGTATAGACAACCCAGTTTCTCAGGGATCAGTTTTCCGGACCCCAATATTCATCCGCATTATAATACCCAACACTGGGGAGGAGGTTTTACTCAAAAACAGAAATGAAGGATTTGGAGTATCTGTGAGTTTCCTTAATTGTCCCCCTGCCCCCGCAGGAATTGTGGGAATTGCTGGTGATACAGTCAGGTTGGCCTGAGTCAGGGAGATCTTGCGAGCGGGGGTCATTAGGCAGGGATGTGGTTCTCTTAAAAGCCTGGGATTTCAGATCCTGAACCCGGCGTCTGTCGGACACCTGTTCCCTGGCAAAGGAGCCTCAGGGAGGCGGCCCCCTCGACCCCGCCCCCTGCACTTGTCCCAGGCCCTGGTTGGTCCGTTGGGCGAGCTATGTTAATGAGATCTGACCCTTACTGCACCTGACTCGGAGCCCCTGTCCAGCCCTAGAGGTCAGGGAGGAATGCGAGCCTTTGGGGCTGTGTGACCCTCTCGGGCTGCAGGCAGGACTGGCGGCTCCCCAGGGCAGCGGCCGCTTCGCCCGCATCTGGGACCTCCCCGGGGAATCCACCGGACTCTTAGGGCCAGCGCCCCGTCCGCTACCCACTTCTCACTCCCAGGGAAGATGCCCAGATCCTTCTTGGTGAAAAAGCACTGGAGCAACCGAATCCCCAATTATGGCCAATTGGAATCTCAGAAAGGTAAAGGAATGTCCCGGTGGGCAGCTGGCGGTACTGGGGGGTGGGGGGGGAACGCCTCACTGGTCTCCGAGGCGCCGGTGGCGGCCTTCCGGGGGAGACACAGGAGAATATCGTCCCCCGCTCTCCTTTTGGGGAGGGAAACTAATTTTGAAAAGCGGGCTAATTGATAGAAGAGTCAGAGCAGCGAGAGAACGAGTTGGCGGCACAGAGCCCAGGGGCTCCTTGTGCTAGCAGGTGCAAGCCCGGCAGGAGTCCGCGCTGGAGGATGCGGGGGCGGCGGCGTTGGGGGTGGTGGTGTTGGAGCTTCCTTGGGAATCGACGGGGAACGGAAGGAGGGAGAAGGGGGCTGCCAGGGGAGCCGGGGACCTGAGACTATGGGACCATGCGGGAACCCACCTGCTGCGCCCTACCTTTGCCTCCAGGCCGATTCGCAGCTGTCTCGGCCCCCCAGCCGGCGGATTTAAACACCCCAAATCTGTTGCCGAATTCCTGGGAAAGATCTTGGGGTTTGGGGACCGGCTGGACCTAGGTGTTCTTCCGGACCTTTCCGCTAAGGGCTGATAGAGACCCTCCTACGCTCCTACCGCCCCAGCTGGGAGAAGCAAAGAAAAAAGCCGGTGCTTGGTGGCGGCGACTCCCCTCCCTTGGCCCCCAGGATACTCTCGAACCCCGGGAGTTTCAGACTCAGTCGTGGTTACTCCCTGTAGCTCCGACGGTGCCGATCTTTTTCTGGACAGGAAGGGAAAAGCAATCTGTACCTCTGTCTTTCTCTCTGCCTTTCCCTCGGAGAAGAGAATAAGGTTGAAGGGTTAGGTCTCCCTTTTTCCCCACCTCTCCAATGATTTCGAATTCCACTCCTGGCTGGTGTCTAATAGCAGCAGACACTTAGACTCTCTGTCTCTCTCTGTTTCTTTCTGGAACAGACATTTACTTAGAGGAAAGAGAAGGTCTCAGTAGCCCATTCCAGAGAACAGTCACAAGCTGAATTTAAACTCCTTGGAAAAGTATGAGAAAAAGGGACCAAGGCCTCATCTATCTCTATCAGCCCTGAATCCTTCTATTTCTAACTCTTCAAGTCCATTTCCCTAACCTTCTTACCTCATGGAGACCTCCTAAGGGGCTGAGTTCTAATTTACTGAATGAAAAGATTCTCAGACCTTCTTACAACTCATTGGCTGGAAACTGTTAAGGAATCTCCTCATTTTACAAATGAGGAATTTGAGGCCCAGAGAAGGGAATTGATGTGCTCAAGGTCACACACGTAGAAAGTAGCAGAGCCTTGATTCAAGCCCAATTCAGTTCTCCTTCCCCTACAGCCTTTGGAACCACCCCCAGCGCTGAGCCATTGCAGGATAGGGGAAACAGCAACGTAAAACTTTTTCCTTCAGAGAAGAGCTTGTTTGGAGGCATCAGAACACAGACCTCTGACTTGATAGAGCAGCCGCCAGTATCTGGGGATTGGCAGACAATCTGAGGGGGAGGGTATTACTCTGTATCCCCCAAAGTAGGAGGGGGAGAAACCAAGGGGGGTTTAGAATGGTCTTTGTGAAGGGTTATTTTTTCCTGTGCTAGGGACTAGTCACCTGATCAAACACTCCCTTCTAAGCCCCTGAAGTCCATTGTTTGGCAATGGTATCCACACCGTCAAAGTGAATTATTCATTAACACATGTCCATGTCCACTCCCTACCCCCCCTTCAAGTAACCACCACATGGATAAAGATCTCAATTTCCAAATGACTTCCATTATGTCAGTGCCCAGAGCCATCCTAAAGGGTGTCTCTCCACCCCCAACCTGATATCACTTCAATAAGTGAAATTGGGTTATAATTCTGAGCAGTCCGAGAAAAGGGAATATGAGAGGCTAGCTATTGAAGAGGAGAGGAGGTATTGGGGAGGCTTGACCCTAATTGCCTGTATATTAGTCTTTTAAAATACCAACTGGTAAGATTTCCTGCTGGAAGCCCTGGGCAGCTCCAACCACCTGTCTCAGACTAGGGTGGGGTTGTTGGTCATGGGTCTAGCCTATATCACTTTTCCAGGGTAGACTTTCTGCTGGGGGAACTCCTGTATCTTTAGAAGGTCTGGGATAGCCAGGAGATTGCTTTTGAGTAGGTGCTCTCCTTGGAGGGTTTTCTTGGAAATTAGAGCATCCAAATTACCTGAACCCACAAGGATTGAAGACTATTCTACTGGAGACCCTGACCTCAGAGAACAAGAGAACAGCAAAAGAAAGAAGGAAACCAATTATATATATATATATGTATATATATATCCACAGGCAGGCACTCTCCAGCTCTGGAGTCATTAAGTGCCATCTGAGGTGATCTGGTGGCATTCCCACCAAATAGATTTTTTTTTTTTTACATTCCTCTCTCCCTATCTTCTACCCTTTCTTCCTCTTTCCGGCTTATTCCTTAGGCTTGTCCATGGTACCTAGCTTTTGCTAGGCTCTGCTGGTGCTGCCACCCAAGAATAATAAGGTTGCTGAGCCTCGAAGGTTACAGGGAAAATAACTTCTTAGTGTCCAGAGAAGGAAGTTTAGGAACTGCTGTGATTTCATTAATATGGGGAACATCTAGATGGGAAAACTCCTATGAATGCTCATCAACTTTTCTATAGTTTGTCATCTTAGAGTTGCCTACAGCACTGAGAAGTGACTAGTCCAGGGTCACACAGAAGCAGTTCTTGAACCCAGTCCTCCTTTGCTCTAAGGCTAGTAGTCTACCCACTAAGCCCTACTGCCTCTTCTATCTGATTGATTATGGTTCCCGGAACTGAAGTGGATCATTCCGGTGACATAATGGAATGGAATTCTTTAGGGCCTCTCTCCTCTCAAAGGAACTGAAAGCTCTTCTCCTTGCTGCCACACTCCCTCCCTGAAGAAGGACAAAGGATAAGATGGAAGCAGAATTTATTCGTTTGAGCAATGGAAGAATTAAGGTGGGAGAGGTCAAAAATGTAGGAGAGAATCAAACACTAAATTGAATGAGGAAGGGAAATGGCTGGAAAAATTGTCTACTGTAACTCTCTTTATAGATAGGGTTTGCAACAGGTAAGTACTAGTAACTGATTTCATAATGATTGCTCACAGGTATTTATTATGTGCCTGTGATACAAACAATGTAGTCATAGACCGTATTTATGTGTTTCTTAGTTCTTTTCTTTCTATGAATTCTTCCATACATTTTTCTGATTATACACCAGGGTTGGACTGGGGGAAGAAGAGGGCCCACCCAAGAACAATACAGTGCATCCCAAAAATCTTTCTAACTTCAATGGCTTAACACTGTTAAGACTTTTGGGGAGGGGGTGCAGCTAGGGGTTGAAGTGGATATGGGGGATATTATGGGTGGACACATATGTATGTGGGATGTTATGGAACATTTGTTAAAACTCTTTTATGAAGAAGTGGTTTGGAAAAAGACTCCAGCCAGGCCTGGAGTCAGGAAGACTCATCTTTGTGAGTTCAAATCTGGCCTCAGACACTTCTTAACTGTGTGACTGTTGGCAAGTCGCTGAACTCTGTTTGCCTCAGTGTTCTTATCTGCAAAATGAGCTGGAGAAGGAAATGGCAAACAAACCCGTCTAGCATCTTTGCCAAGAAAACCCCAAAAGGGGTAGCTGGACATGACTGAAACAAATCAGCCACAACACAACAACATATGTGGATGGGAAAAAGTGGATGCCTTTAATCTACTAGCATTTTTAAAAGCCTGGAAATATATGCTTGACTAAAAGAAAAGGTAAATAGGGGGAAGAGAGAGAACAAAAGAAGAGATGGAGAAAGGGGTGGGGAGGAGAGGTAGAAAAGAATGGGTGGATTTCAGCCTTGCTCGGTTTCATAATTAGTTTGCCCCTGCATTGTATGTGTTGGATTTGATGGGTCAGGGCTAGAGCTGGCCAACAGGTGTGACTAGGTCTCCTAAAAAGTGACCCCTGGAAGGAGGGAGGGGAGGGCAGATCACTATCATTGCAAAGCTGTTTGTTCAGAGTGCCGGGCTAGAGTTATCTCTGGGATGATTCACTCTCAATACCCTCCCCACCCCCCAATGCCCAGAAGCCAAGAGTCTGGGTCCTCTCAAAGAGTACCCTGTAGTTAGTTAAATGGGAGAAATAAATACATAAAATGAAGCAGTAACGTTAAATTCTGAGTTCCAAATGGAAGTTCCCTTGCTCTTTCCCGAAAAATAAACAGATCTTTAAGCCTTCTGTAGTGTGCGGGGGCTATTTGGTCAGGGTTTAACTGAAGCAGGTATTATATCATTTAGGGTCTCACAGTTCCATGATCCACCTTCCATAATCCATTAGACTGTGAGCTCCGAGAGGGAACACCTTTGTCTTTTTTTTTTTGTTTTTTGCCTTTCTTTGTATCCCCAGCATTTACCACAATAAATGCCTGGTACACAGCAAGTGTTTAATAAATGCGCTTTGATTTGACTTGTGGTATACTTGTTTGAGGGGTACAGTTATAAATAACCTTGGCTCATTGCTTTTTCCTGAAAAGCCAGTATTCTTTCTAAGCTACTAAAAATCTCTAACTGAAGATCAGTTACTCTATTTGAGGGGCAAGGAGTATGAGAAATGATCAGAGAGAAAGAGAGGGGTCCTCTCAGGGGTCCCCTTTTTGTCTCTCTCCAGGGATATAAATACTGGTTCTATATTATGTGTGGATACACATGTATGTGGGATGTTATGGCACATTTGTTAAAACTCTTTTATGAACCAAGAGTAAGGGAGCTCATTCTGAAATTTTGGTTTGGAAAAAACTCCAGAATTTAACCACAACCCATGGGACTAATCTGTTTACACTGAGGGCATTGAAGCCTAGCTGCTTAAGCCTCAGACCCCTCTACCTGCTGGGGAGATTGTGAGACCTGAATCATGGCATTTGGCTTGCAAATGCTAGTTTTCATGAGTGGTTTCTCCCCAGCTTAATTGTAGATTTTTAGTCATTGTCTTGAGACAGCTAGGTAACACAGTCGATAGAATGCTGGACCTGGAGTCAGGAAGACTTATCTTGGTGAGTTCAAATCTGACCTCAGACACTTACTAGCTGTGTGACCCTGAGCAAGTCACTTCACCCAATTGGCCTCAATTTCCTCATCTGTAAAATGAGCTGGAGAAGGACATGCAAACCACTTCATTATCTCTACCAAGGAAGCCCCAAATGGGGTCACGGAGAGTGGGACACGACCAAACAACAACGGAATCTCGCTATCATTGATGTGTTTTAGATGTTGTTTAGTAACATCGACTCTAGATGTAGCCAGGAGGATTGAAAACTACAGATCATCTAGCTGTTCTGGCTTGTTACATCAGCTGAGCTTGTGGCCATTCGGTAGTAAGTATGGCTGAAGGAATCCACCATGTTGACTAATCCACCTGGGGATAAATGATATTTGTATGTTTATATTTTCCATGCTGCCTACTGCTCCGGCTGCCAGGGCTGCTCAGAAACAGAGAAAGAAAGCTGACAAAACACTGATATTTTTAGATCCTGAAATGGTTTAGAAGCTGGTGATCGGGTAGATGGGACAGGAGCTCTGTCTGCCCTGGGACAGACGGTGGGGTGAAGGTCCCCCTCATTCTGGTCTAGGGAGACGTCCCGAAGATGGGCTCCTTCTATATCTTCCCTTGCCATGGGGTTGCTAGTGATTTAAGGAAGCTGTGCTTGGTTTGTGGGGTGGAATAAACAAAATAAACAAATAAACAAATAAGAACTCTTCAGCATCTCTCACATCTTTCTGTTCTCTCTCTCTTTATCCTTACAGAGATAAATGGGTCCTGCTACACCTGTGAGGGACTGGTCTTCCCACTGCTCCTCCAGGACAAAGCAGCCCCTTCAGCGTCCAATGATGCTCCCAGCCTGTGGGACCACAAGTCTGTCATTGCATGTATCTCGCTGCCTCTCCCCTTAAAGGGGGAGGCTCGGGGAATGCCCAGTCCCGGGCCTCTGGAAATCAGTGTGGTGGACTCCCTAGATGGCCGAGCTCCTGGCACCCCCCTCAAGGATAGCCTGAACCATCTCAACCTTTCCCCATTGCTGAACACGCCTAAGCAGTGGCCTCTCGATCCTGGGCCAGAGGTAGACAAGGCTCCAGATAAACTTCTTGGGGGTGGAGGCCCACAAGGTGGGAGCCCTCCACTGGGCTCTGTGGGCTGCTTTGAATGCTTTGACTGCCATAAGACCTACCACACATTCTCTGGGCTCTCCAAACACCGGCAGCTGCACTGTGATCTGCAGGCCTGCCGTTTCTTCAGCTGCAAGTATTGTGACAAGGAATACGCAAGCCTGGGGGCCCTCAAAATGCACATCCGCACACATACCCTGCCTTGTATCTGCAAGATCTGTGGCAAGGCCTTCTCTAGGCCCTGGCTCCTTCAAGGTCACATCAGGACTCACACAGGTGAGACTGGGGGAGGGGTGACCTAAGCAAGCCTCCAGGGTCAGAGGAGAAACTAACCTGAAGGAAGAGAATTGCTGGTCATCTAACGAGATAGGAGTAATCAAATATGACCCCCTCAAAACACACACACACACACACACACACACACACACACACACACACACACACACAGACATTTCCTTTTCCTCATGCAGAAACAAAAAACTTTGCAATTTGTCTTGCAGACTGAATCTTTGCAAACTGAATCTGTTTTCTCATACCCTACTGTAATTCAGAGTTTGGGGGTAGCAGAGTTTGGGAGAACAGAAGAATTGTACAGAGGTGAGGAATGTGTGAAATTATGGCTGGGGATTTCACTGGGAAACTGGGAGAAGCTATGGTAAACATACCCACGAAAGGTTGATCAAACAGAAAAAGAAGCACAAGGCTTTAAGAGAGAGAGAGAAGACAGAGTCCATAGACACCAAGAAACAAAGAGAGAAACTGAGGCAGGGAGAAATGAGGAAAGAGATAGAGACAATCATCCTAGAGAGAGAGAGTTCTTCTACTCACCCACCCTTTACAGTCAGTGGTTTGCCTGCATTCATAGTGGTATTCAGAGCAGAAGAAAGATAACACATGGGGTAACACAATCCTCGCAAACCTTTCACTTGTGTCTGTATCCGAGCTTGCTTAGAATCTCATATGAGTTACCCCAGAGGCAGAGATTGGAAAGCAGACTCTTGCAAGAGTCATTTTCTGGTCACTGGGGAATTGTTTCTTCTTGCTCTCTGCACTTAGGGACAGGCTCTCCTCATTGCTACTTTCCCTCTTCAAAAGGGCCCTTGACTCACTAAACACACGGACTCCAGAATGTCAGGGGGTTGAGAGCTCTTGGGCCAGAGCGATCGGAATGCAAGGTGGTTCTATAGAAGGCTGTCTCTAGTGGCCATTTGTCATGAGGGTGCCCAGCCATAGGAAAAATACTAATATTTGGTGGTGGAACGCAGCTAGTCTTACATATTCATCTGCCAGAGTCAGCTTAATGGGGTAAGGAATTGGCCAAATGGTTGTCCTTCAGATCCTGAGATCCAAGGTAGAATCACGCTCTGGGGTTGCTAATGACTCTTGGATCCAGGCACTTGACCTAGAGATTTTCTTTCTTGATTTTTCCTCAGGGTCCAGAATTTGCATTTGGTATATAGCTTTTTGTACTTCTAGACATAAAAGTAGCTAGGTGGCACAGTGAAAAAAGTGCTGGGCCTAGAGTCAAGAAGATCTAAATTCAAATCCAGCCTCAGATAGTTATTAGTTGTGTTACCTTGGGCAAGTCACTTAACTTCTATTTGCCTCAGTTTCCTTAACTGTAAAATGGGGATAATAATAGCACCTACCTCCCAGGGTTGTTGTAAGGATCAAACGAGATAATATTTGTAAGTATCTGGCACATAGTACGCACTATATAAATGCAAGCTATTATTATTCTGGAGGATTTTCCCCCATTATAAATTTTCCTAAGGAAATAGTCTCATAGTTGGAGACATTCTGAATCTACCACCAAATAGCTTTGTGACATTGGGAAATTTCTGTTAACTACTCTGCCCCAATATTCCTTCCAGTGGGAGAAAGAGGGCAGTAATAATTCCTTTTCCTTATTATCTACCTTATAGGGCAGGGAATGTGATCTTGAGAATGAATTCCCATTCATAATAGGTATGAAGCACTCTGAATATTAAAAAAAAATGTATTCTGTTCAAGGTGGCTCATTTAAACTTGTTCCCATAATATAGGGCAGATTTAAATTGGACCTATTTTCAGCTGTCTTATACAAGAACTTAATCTTGTTCTGGACTGCTCTGGGAAGGGAAGCTAGAAATTATTATTCTGGACAGACCAGTCATTTGGGTTTCATATTTCCCTCTCCCCAGGTGAGAAGCCATATGCCTGTTCTCACTGTAGCCGGGCCTTTGCTGACCGCTCTAACCTGCGAGCTCACCTGCAGACCCACTCTGACATCAAGAAATACCAGTGTAAGAGTTGCACCAAAACCTTCTCCCGCATGTCCTTGTTAACCCGACACAAGGAAGCAGGCAGCTGCCCAGCCTCCTGATGGCCAAAAGTGGCCAGGGAAGTTAGGGGAGGAGGGGACCTGAATTGGAATACCCAGAGCTGGAGGTCACTCTTGGAAGTCTCTCTGGAATCAGGTGAGGAACATCTGCACCACCAGGAGAACTGCATCTTGGGTTATGGCAAGAACCTGGGTCGCCCCTCTTTCCTTTTCCATTTGGAGCTAATCCATCCAAGCAATGTGCTTGGATCAGTGTGGCTCTCCAGTTGCTTTGGGTCTCTCATCTGTGCCTTCATTTTGTCCCATTTTGAGGCTTTGCTCCTGGCTCGGGGAAGAGTGTGAAAGGTGAGAAGAAGCCATTTCCTCGGTTTACAGATTAACGCCTTCCATTTTATTCTTCAAGAATTGGGGCCTGGTAGGATTTAGGGAGAAGGGAAGAAATCCCAGCTGATGAGCCAAAGATCGCTAGGATATACTTCTCTACCCTGATGGAATTGGCACCCTTTCCAATCAGTGACTGGCCAGCGCTCTGACTTAGGCACATCCAGTTTTGCATACCAGACCGAAGTTTTACCCAGGGCTAGTGGCATGCTCTAGTGTCTAGGAAACTGATTTAAGCATCAGTGAACCTGAGCTCTGGGCTTGTTTCAGACAATGTGGGGCTCAGGGCAAGCTGTTACATATGCCTTTGCCATGTTTTCTCTCTCATAAAAATGGGGGAAAAAATGTGTCTACACCAGACAATGACAGTAATGGTTGGTGGAGGTAAGTGGTGGGGGAGGCTCCCCCTGCCTGACTGGCACCTTTACAGAGCCAGCCTAAGCTGTTGTTGGGGCTATTGCCTTCTGTAGGGAAATACACCTGTGGAATATTAAAGGAGGAGTCCCAAAGCTGCTGTCTGTCCTGTTCTTTGAACTTAGATTTTCTGGGTGGTTCCCTGGCTCTAAAGTCATCCAAACAAACATGTGTCAAGCACTTGTATCAAGGTGCCAGGCATGATGGAGAAGTGCTGGGGATATTTCAGAGGTGGGTAAAAAGGGACACTGCCCACTTTGGAACTATGCCCGAAGGGCTATAAAATTAAGCATACCTTTTGACCCACTACTAGGTCTGTGTCCCAAAGAGATCATAAAAATGGGAAAAAGACCCACATGTACAAAAATATTTATAGCATCTCTTTCTGTGGTGGGAAAGAATTGGAAATTGAGGGAATACACATCAATTGGAGAATGGCTGAACAAGTTGTGGTATATGAATGTGATGGAATACTATTGTGCTATAAGAAATGATGAGCAGGATGATTTCAGAAAAACCTGGGAAAAGTTACATGAACTGATGCTGAGTGAAGTGAGCAGAACCAGGAGAACACTGTACACAGTAACAGCCACATTGTTTGATGTTAACTTTGATAGACTTAGCTCTTCTCAGCAATACAATGATCTAAGACAATTCCAAAAAACTCACGACGGAAAATGCTATCCATACCCAGAGAAAGAACTATGGAGTCTAAATGAAGATCTAAGCATACAATTTTCAAGTTTTTTTTTTTTTTTGGTGGCTTTTCCCTTTTGTTCTGTTTCTTCTTTCACAACATGACTAATGTGGAAATCTGTTTACATGATTGCACATGTATAACCCATATCGGATTGCTTGCCATCTTGGGGAGAGGGATGTGAGGGAGGGAGGGAGAAAAAATTTGAAACTCAAAATCTTATAAAAAATAAATGTTGAAAACTTAAAAAAAAAAGAGACCCTGACCTTACAATCTAATGAGGGAGACATAAATAAATAGAGACATACATGCCTCTATAAATAGAGATATACAAGATACATTCAGAGTAGATAGAAGGTAACCTTGGAGGGAAAGGTTCTAGCAGTTAAGAGCACAAAGTTAGGCCTTCTACAGAAGATGCGCATTTAAGTTGAATTTCAAAGGAAGCAATGGGTTAATTAAGAAGTTTAAGCTCAGCATATATAACCTATATCAAATTGCTTACCATCTGAGGGAGAAGAAGAGTGGGGGGGGAGGGAAAAATTTGGAACTCAAAATTTTTTTTTAAATGTTAAAATTTGTCTTTATATGTAATTGAAAAAAATAAAATACTATTTTAAAAAAAGAAGTTTGAGCTCAAAGACAGCCTTCAACAGTAGTCTAGTATAATCTGGCCCTCTATCTGAATAGAAGAAATATGGAAGATAGAGTAGGGGGGGAGAGAGAGAGACAGAGAGAGATGAGATACTTTGTGGGAAAAGAAGAGGTGGGGTGTGAGGAATGAAGATGTTGTATGGAGGAAGTAAATGCCATGAAGAAAGGATAATGAGAAACAGTGTTGAAAAAATGTAAGAAAATTTGAAGAAGGGGAGGATTTATTGGAACCCTTACGAGAAACTATAGTGTTGGTAGGGCACCTGAAGAGTGGGGTATCATTTTCTTCCAAATATTCAACAAGCATTATGTACCTACTATGTGCCAGGCACACACAGAATACAATGCAATATTCTAACTTGGGAATAATTACACAGAAAACCCTGGCTTGGCTCACAGCTTTTGATGACTACTACATGACATTTTGCTGAGGAGATGGACTTAAACAAAACTTCCCCTTCTGAATTCTGTTGGCTTCTCTCTTACAAAAACGCCAGATGCAGGCGCCATGTTCCTTTAATGTCTTGCCCTGAATAGGTATGGCTCTGCTAACACTAACCTTTGCTCTTTCCTGTCTGTTGGCTAGGATACTCACCCTTAGAAGCTCCCTAACTTGGTGATGCTACCAAGCAAGGCTCCGGCCACTCAGCTTTACTGTCCTCACCCCCAGCTTTGGTGGTTTCATGTCTGATGCCCCTCCCATCCCTTCCCCTGGATTTGCCTTATTCCCATTCTCAGGCCTGCCTGGGCAGCCACTCATTGGCTTGTCCCCACCTCCTGCCAGTGGATCTTGGAGTCCTCCTCAGCTCTGCCCTGAAGGGATGGCCTCTAGGAATGAGCCAGGGAGGGGCCTTGTCTGAGACTGATTGAGTTCTTGACGCCTCCACCAAGATGCCTGGTGGGGAGATTTTCTGGAGAGGACACCTGTCCCTCAGCAGTGGGATTGGCCTGTTCCCAGCAGTTCTGCTTCTGGCCCAGGCCTGGGAACACATGTTGGTCACCACTGTCCTAGGTCTGGAATGAGGTCATCCGGCAAATGGTAAAAGCTCTCATTACTGCCCTCCTACACTACCCAGAACCCAATCAAGCAATCACAAGCACTTATTAAAATGCCTATTCTATACCAATCACCGAGTTAAGTGTTGGGAATAGATACAAAGGCAAAACTTAAACGGTCTCTACCACTTACTACTTATATTTGGGATAGAAAGGTGGGTGGAGAGAGACAATACATTTACATATTTTAGAAATATATGCAAAATAAATAACTCCCAGCTTGCTCCCAGAATTCAGAATTTACTCATGCTTCGGCACAAGATGCCTTCTTCCTGACCCATCAGTTTAGCTGGTTATAGTCTAGGTCCCAAAGAAGATATGTGAGCCAAGTTGTTCCACTCTGGTCTGATGGCGCCACCCAGCTTGAGCTCATCACCAGGGACAGAAGACCATGGGTGCTTGGTTTGGTGCCAGTTAACTAAGGGATTTGGGTCAACTCTGGTAGAACCTGAGCTGGGATCTCCAGGATGAATGTCCTGAGATTGTTCCAGTTTCAACCATAAACTGCCTGACCTCTACATCAAACCTGAGCTCAAAGACAGGACTTTCAATGCTGTATTCTCAGCTAATCCCTACCATTCATGCCCCTCCTTTCAATCAATAAACAATTATTAAGCCTATATGCGGGCAGCTAGGTGGCACCATAGTGCACAGAGCCCTGGGCCTGCAGTTTCCCGAGTTCAAATCTTACCTCAGACACTAGTTGTGTGACCCTGCGTAAGTCACTTAACCCTATTTGCTTCAGTTTCCTCATCTGTAAAATGAGCTAGAGAAGGAAATGGCAAACCATTCCAATATCTCTGCCAAAAAAAAAAACCAAAAACCAAATAGAGCCGCAAAGAGTTGAACACGACTAAATAACCAAACAACAACAAAAACTTATATCTTGTTTCGTGTGTAGTGTCAAACACTGACAATACAAAGACAAAAGAGAATCAGTTCTTGTCCTCTAGAAGTTCATATTCTAGTGGAAGATAGTGGTGGGATTCTGGATCCTCCATACTGGTGTATAGGTGAGTTCAGGGCCTCCTCAGGCTTTTGCTAGGCTGGTAAGAGAGATAATGACCTTCCCTCCTGGATTTAGCTTGCCTTGGTGTCTTTCCCTAAAATTTCTTCTTCATCAGAGACTGAAAAGTCTTAGGAGTTGAAAAAATTACTTGGAAACCCCCAAACCCCAGAGTTGTTTGGTAACTATTAAATAGATAAATAGCCTTTACTTACATAATGATCGGCTGGAGTTTAGCCTTCAGAGATTAAAATCAAGAGATTGTATGGATTGCTCACCATGGTCCACAGTGAGAGATAGAATTATAGACAAGGACATTAGCTGAAGTCAGAAGCTGGAAGCAACAAGTTGCTCCATAGACATGCCCCCCCCGGCTTCCTTTAAGTCCCAACTAAAATCCCATCTTCTAAAGGACACCTTCCCCAACTCCTCTTAATTCCAGTGCTTTCCCTCTGTTAATTATTTCCTATTTTTCCTGTATAGAGCTCGCTTTGTGTATATTTGTTTTAGTGTTAGATTGTAGGCTTTCTGAGGGCAGGGGACTGTCTTTTGCCTCTTTTTGTATTTCCAGCAGTTAGCACAACCCATGGCACATAGTAGGAACTTAATAAATGTTATTGAATTGAATTGAAATGCAGGTGGGATTATGCCTGGCAGCACCTGACAGAGACTTCAGGTGGAGATGCTGTGCAGAAGAGGCCAGAACCACACCAAAGCATCAGTAGAAGACAGTCACATCCCTACAGAGTCAGAAGTCTGTCCCCCTTCCGTATCGGTTCCCTCTGTATACATATGCCACTTCCCTCACCTACAGGGGGTCACAAGGAAATCAGGATACAAGCCCATCTGGAACAAGCAAATGTAATTTTTAGAATTTACCAGAAGGGCCTTGGGAGGCTTCCTGAAGCATTCTCCTTTAATATGTCATGTCCCTCACATCTTTTATCTGAACATGGATTCCTCTGCTCCTCCCCTCTACCACCTTCAGTCCAGAGTACACCTCTAGTATTACAGGTCAGGGTAAGAGGAGGATAATGTGGGCCATGATGCCTTTGTGGGGCTCATCTCTGTGAAAACAGAGTAATCCCCCTCCTTGAACTGCTCACCAAAGCCATTTACCCTAGAGCTTAGCTTTGTTAGTGGAACAGATCAGACTTCCTGAGGGTGAGAAGAGGCCCTTTCCTGCAACCCTGCTGATGATGCTATCTCCCCTTCCCCAGCAAAAAGGCAAAGCCCAAGCAATATTTATATTCTGAGGGGTGGCTTAAAGGAGGATTACAAATAGAGGCCAGATGCCTAAAGGAAGCTATATTGTAAATTGTGATCTATTTTGGTGTTCCAAAATCTAAATGAAGCCATTGCACCTGTTAGGCATGGAGGAGGAGAATTTCACAGGCCTAAAATAAAGCCAAATATTTTCCCATGGAAAATGCTTTTTATATTTAACTCCAGGTTGGCAGGGAGGTCAGGGGAGTAGATGGTAGGTTGACAGGGGGGTAAGGCGAGATGGTGGAAGTTTGCCAATCTTCAAAGCCAGGGTGAGAATTGATATGTAATGAATGAATGAGATTTTCCACTTAGAGTAAGCCAGTCTGAAGCTATCAACAGCAATTGGGCCTCCTTACCAGGTCCCTGGATCATTCTTAGCTCCGGGACTCCTACCATGTCTCCCTCTTCTCTGGTCTTCCTCCTCTAGGTTCCCTAGCTACCAGCTTTTCTTACTCAGTCCTCTTCTTATTATAGGGGACAGTGTCCCAAACCTTTTGGTGAAATATATTCACATACTCATTGCTCCTTTCTTTTCCTCCGGACCATTTGTATTCTGTCCGCTTTAACTTCTCTCTCCTGTCCAGACCCTCACTCTGTGCTTCCCTTTCACCCTCCAAGG